GGGGTGGGGGGTGGGGGGGGAGGGTGGCGGGAGGAAGAAGGGGAAGAGGACTTCTTCCCGCGTAGACTTGGGAGTGTTACCGTTTTACAAACCAAAATGCCCTCCTTCCTTGCTTTTAGGACAATATTCCATAATCCATGTACATTTTATCCCCACAGTCTGATTTACATTAAATGGGTTCTTTGCCTTCAAGATACGTACTGTCCTGATAGGTCCAGGTATTTTCCTGTGTCTCCCATAGTCTAGACTTCTGCTGGTGTCATACAATCAGAGGCCATCAAGGCAAAAGGGGGACTGGAGGAGCCCAAGCGCGGAAATAAAGCTCGGGCTGCGGGCTCCTAGTTGATGCTTAACGAGTAAGGTCAGGCAGCTCCAGCACTCAGAGTTACTGGAGGGGGAAGGCCCTTTCCTCTCACTGCGGAGAACAGGTGGTTTACCTTGTTTTAAAAGAAAATCAGTGCCATTGACTTGGCCCTTGTGAGAAATCATTCCCTGGATGGCAAGTCAATACTGATGTGATTTAAAAAGTTAAGAAAATCATTGCCAGAGAACCTTCATTTTAACATCTGATTATTGGTAGGAACAAAAGCATTGTGTGTTAAATTTCATTTAGAACTCATTTAATTTTTGTAATGAGAACTGAGCCACTCTAGGCAACACGCAGCAGTCTGCAGCCCTTAGGTTGTCAGCTGGTTTATGGAACTATTTTCTAATTTGCGGGAGATTAAGGAGGTTTGTCAAATATTGAGGTTAAGTTGTTATCTGTTTAAATTATGTAAGTATCTCATCTTTCACCATAAACACAAATCCCTTTACCTTTAGGTTTATTTAAAATTATAGTACTTTACTGTCTCTAGCTGTCCTCCTCTCCCCCAACTCTTTCTCTGTATGTATCTTTACCTTTAGTAAAATCATAACCATTCATATTTCCTTTGATCTCCGCTGCTTTTCAGTGTGTATATGTGTGTGTGTATAAGATAATATATATTAGATAAAATGTATGTATATATTCTAATGTGTATATATAAATATGTATAAGAATACCCCCCCAAATTCTAGTGCTATAGCCTTCTATATTTTTAAAAGATAAATGGTAACCACATAATATAAATCTATGGTATAAGTATATTTAATATGGTTAAAGTAAAATTATATATATATATATATATATATATATATATATATATATATATTTTTTTTTTTTTTTGTGAGATATCTGGCCAGTGTTGAGAAAAGACATCTCTGCCCAGAGAATAAAGCCATGCATTCTTTAATCCTGGGCTTCCACCAGCTGAGCTCTCTTTCTGGGGATGGCATTCACCCTAGTTCTCCGATATGTAACTGGTATGGAAAACTTGATACGGCGCAGGCTCAGCGGCCATGGCTCACGGGCCCAGCCGCTCCGCGGCACGTGGGATCTTCCCGGACCGGGGCACGAACCCGTGTCCCCTGCATCGGCAAGCGGACTCTCAACCACTGCGCCACCAGGGAAGCCCTAAAATTATATTTTAATCTAAATTTCTATACTAGTACTTTATGTTTTATGTATTTTGACTTTCATTTTTATGATTAAGCTATAAATTTTTTAAATGTTTGGAAGATACGAGAAGACGAGTGGAAAAGATTAAATAAGAAAAACCATGAGTTTCCTTCTTTCAGATGAACTCTGCATTCTGTATGGAAGTAGATTCCTCACATTTATGTCTTTATCAGTTATATGATGCCATTTATAAGAATTCTTCTTAATTGTGGATGGCCATCCCACGTGTTAAAGGAAGACCCTTCATATTGAGACATTACAGTTTTTTAAGTATCAAGGAGACTGTGGGAAATTACCATCGTGACAAGCTGCAGTTAACAAGATTGTTTTCAAGGTAGCCTAGATGAAAGTTTCCCTTCAATTGCATATTGCTGTAGTTGAAAGAATATACCTGTGACCAAAATAGTAAGGTAAATTTGGAGGAACTCCTTAAACAGTACTCTCAAGGGTCTTGTGGGAACAAGGCTTCTCTGTGCTATTGAAAACCTGTTTCTCATATCACCCAGTCTAGCCATCTAGCAGGGTTTTGAAATGTCACATGGTGACACAGCATCCTAATGGTATCTCTTGGGAAACATTTTTTTGGCGAGACAATATCAAGGGTCCTTAGAAATGGAAGCAACACAAAGGAAAATAAAAACGAGGACAGGAGGCTGATTCACCTCTCTGAGCAGCAGTGCCATGTCGCAGATATATTGATTTAATTAGTCCACAACAATGTCTGTCTTTCACGTTTGCTCTGTAGAGTTCCTACACTGCTAGGCTGCTGCTTTGTGCAATTTGCTTTATTATTTCCTTTAAGCATAGGTCAAGAAAAATGCACTGCAAAGCAGAGTTTCTCTTTAACAGAATTAAAAGCATTGTAATATGTTAATTTAAAAGGTTATGGTGCATTCTGTGTGTATTCTGAGTGTTTGGTAGGAGTAATTTCTGCCTCTGCTTGTGAGAGATTATAAAAATCTATTTTAATTGTGGAAAAGGATTTTAAGAGATAACTCACCTCACCATGAGGAATGTATATTTAATTCTGCTTAAGGAGTATTTGACAATGAATTACTCCAAAGCATATCTCTTGAACTAAAATATTCATAAATGACAAAAAAACAGCATAAACAAAGTCCAGCACTTATTCCTTTCCCTGAATAACCCCGTATGGGTACAGTGTGTTATTTGTGCCTCTGTGAATGTGACAATATATATCTTTGCTTTTCAAAAGACATCTATTGAATATTTGTTATTTCACAATATTTTTCATTTCACCATAATAAAAATTTTGCGTGTTACAACAGGTTGATAAAGGTGGCACCTCAGTCTTTTATAAGATTCATATTATTATTCTAGACGAAAGTATAGCCACACTGATGCCTTCAATCTATATTTTAAAAGAACAAATGAAATTGAACATTCGTATTTTAGCTGGCAAGTATGACTAACAGTTTTACCTTTTTTTTCGTTATTTGTTTGTCTTGTTAAATCCATGAGGGTCTCTCTTTTTTTTTTTTCTTAGAATAACGTGTTGAACTTTGTAAACATTCCCAAACATAAAAAGTAGAATTATGAACTTCCATATACCAGTCATCTTGATTCATAAAGTATGCTTCATCTGCCCATTTTATTTTTAGTTTTTCGCTGAAGTGCTTTAAAGCAAATCCCAGACATTATATCATTTCACCCATATGGATTGTTCTTTTTCACATGAACACAGTGTCATTTTCACACCAGACAAAATGAACACTCGATGGTACAATACCAGGCCATATACACATTTTACAGATTTTATTAGAAGTATCTTCTGATGTCATTAAAATTTGTTTGAATCAAAATTCACACATTTGGTTGTTTGAGGTAATTTATTTTTTTATTGATCAGATTTTAAAATCCCGATTACCCATGTGTTGAAAAGGTAGAATTTTATTTTAAAAACCAACCAACAAAACCCACTTTTTCTGCTTCATTGAAAGACAAAGCAAAATGTGCTCTAAGAGCAATGATAAATGAAATACATAACAGCACCTGACAAAAAATTTTTTGCTTCGAATAGAAAAATCCCTTCTTCTTAAGCATTACTACTCCAATAACCTGTATTAGTTTTTAGTAAAGCCCTTAGTATTTGGTAAGATTTAATGAGGATGGTCTGATTAAACTTGTACGAAATAGGATCCTTTAAGAGGTGTCTTTAATACCAATTTGGAGCCATACAGATAGATCTTATTGTAAGAAAGCATGAAACTGCGAAAATGTGAAACTTTACAGTTGAGCATGCTTGGTTTCTAAGCTTTCATCTTCATGTAACCTTGCCTGGACCTAAACAAATTGGCACCTGCCTTGGTTTCTATGTCTGTTGCTTTTGACTTTTTTTTTTTGACCTCTAACTAAAGTAAGAATTGTATAATAATTTTCTTACATTAAGATCTGATAATGCACACACAGAGACACAGATGCACCTCAAGTAGATGTTTCTTAAAGAACTACTTACACTATGTTTGAAGCACGGTGATATTTTCTGTTCCATTCTATTTCATATTTCTTTAAAAATTCAGGGTGTCATCCACTGAATTGATTCTTTGAATTAGTTTGGAAAACACTTGGCATAGTGCTTAGGAAGCATAAGCTCTAGCATCAAAGGGACCTGGATTTAAATATCAGCTCTATTAGTTACTAGCAGCACATCCAGACAAAAAAAATCTATACCTTTGTGGGAAGGTATGGGTTTTCTGCCCATTTTTTGAATGACGTGTGCCAAAAGTGTATTTTATTTACGTACCATCTGCCTAGCAGTTACCCATGTGCCAGGGACAGTGTTTTACAGCACTCCGTTTTAGATCCTAATAAACAGCTCTATGAGTTAATACTACTGTCGATTTCATCTTACAGATGAAGAAACCAAAACAGGTTAATTAACTTGCCCATGGTCACACGTCTAGTAAGTAACAGAGCTGGGATATGAACTTAGGAAGTCTGGCCCCAGACTCCAGGCTCTTAACGACCATGATATTAATTATAATATCATCTCTTATAACAAACTATAAGTCAGTAAGATTTTTTTTATTGAGGTGTAATTGGCATTTTACTACTTTTAGGTATATAACATAGCAATTCAGTATTTGTATGTACTTCAAAATGATCATGACAATAAGTTTAGTTAACATCCATCACCATACTTAGTTACAGAACTTTTTTTTCTTGTGATGAGAACTTGTAAGATTTACTAAGGCAACTTTCAAGTATGCAATACAGTATGGTTAACTATAGTTGCCATACTGTACATTACATCCCCATGACTTATTTTATAATCAGTTTGTACCTTTCGACCACCTTCACTCATTTTTGCCCACCCCTGCCAACCTCTGTTCTGTGTGTCTAAAAGATTAGTCTTTTGTTTTCTTAATAATTAGGTGACTGCTAGCTGTTTTAATCTGTATCCCCAGTGATAAAGTTGGATTTTCAAAGTTTAACAGTGTTTCAGGAATTTGTTCCAGAATGCTATCTTTCCAGGTACAATGCATATCTTAAATGGAAAAATAGAATTATATGAATGGCTTACGTATTTTTAACTTCCGGTGGTGATTGTGAATTATAGATTACTTTTACATAAGTTGCACTGGACTAGGAGTCAAAATAATATAGGTTCGGGTTTCCCTGGTGGCGCAGTGGTTGAGAGTCCGCCTGCCGATGCAGGAGACGCAGGTTCGTGCCCCAGTCCGGGAGGATCCCACATGCCGCGGAGCGGCTGGGCCCGTGAGCCATGGCCGCTGAGCTTGCTCGTCCGGAGCCTGTGCTCCGCAATGGGAGAGGCCACAGCGGTGAGAGGCCCGCGTACCGCAAAAAATAAAAAATAAAAAATAAAAATATAGGTTCAAGTTCTAATTCTTCTGTTTTCTAGACACATGAGTTGGGTCAAGTCACCTACCCTCTCTACCTTTGTTGCCCACCATCTGCCTATTCTAAATGATGTTTGGAGGTGCTTTTTAGAAATCTAAGATGCTTCTTGTTCAAATTACTTGGCAACGTGTAGATTATCAGGAGCTGACTAGTTTGGAAAACTCATTCTGTTCATTTTGTCTTTAGACTTGAAAAAAGTGATCTCTGTGCATGTGAATTATGCATACAAGCTAAATGTATTCCCAGTATTTAGTAGACGGCAAAATAAAATGTAAAGTTCAATGTATACTCTAGAGACCATGTTAAAATTATATATTCCTTTTAAGAAAAGCTGAATGACATTTAAATGACATTTTTCTGTTCTACAGAAACGAAAGGCAAATACCAAAGTAATTTGTAAGCGTTGCAAGGTAATGTTAGGAGAGACTGTGTCATCAGGTAAGAATTTCATAATAAAAAAGCCAAAATGATTGCCTTCTTGTTAAAAAAAAAAAACAGTAGGAGGAGATTTTATAGGAAATATATAGGAAAGTTAGATGACTAATACATGTTGTAGAACTGATGCTTTTAAAAATAGAAGTCAACTAATATATCATCCAATATGCCAAGAAGTTTGTGTATTTTGACCTTTGTAAGTACATAGTACTGAGTTTTAAGCATTAAGAAGTTGGGTCATTTTCAGTATTTCATATCTTCTTTGTAGATATAAAGCAATAGTATAAAACTTGTACTTGGGTCTATCTTAAAGAAGATTGGAGCTTTTTTCTTAATACAGCTCCTCAGTCAGAAGAATTGATTGCCAGAGATAATGGAGGAGGTGCTTTTCCTGGCTGCTGTGTGCCTCAGGGCTGTGTTTTGAGGCTTGGAGGTTGGGGATGCAGAGAACCTGTTGAAACATTCTGAGTTTTATACTCTCTTCTTTGTTCTTTTTTCCAATAGTGTTAATTATATTTTACATAAAGCCTATGTTATACGACTTTGCAATATAATAATGAAATCCTGATCATTAAAATGCATCAATCTTTAAAGATACGGTTTAAAAATGTTTAGAGAGCTACAGCATGCTGTGTTAGCTTTGTGGGTGAAGAATAATTGTTTTTAATAGAATTAATTAGAAGATGTGAGTTAAGTGAAACTATTGTACTCAAGGGAAGGCAGATGGTGGCATTTTTTTGTTTGTTTTTTAAGATCATCAGAGTCTCATAACTTGCTCTGAGAGAACAGAAAAGGAAGAATGAGTAGTAGTAAAGGATGCCACCCTCAATGTCATTTTTGGAGAATGAAAACAAGTCCCTTAAGCAATGACTTAGAAAATCTTAAGGCTTCCAGTTTAAATAAGGTGAATTGATTTTTTTCATGCTTTTCTCTCCTCCCTGAAGCCCAGTTAAAATGTCAGTTAAGGAATAAAAAAAAAGGACATCCACAGAGACAAAGAGAAGTGGGGAGGAGGCAACAGTGATGTGAACTAGAGGTGTAAGCAAACTTCTTTTGGAAGCTATAGAGCTGAGATGGGTATGGCAGTATGGAGGAAGCTGCAACCTTGTTGTCTGCAGAAGATCATTTAGATAAGGAGTGAGCCAGTTCTCACTGTATCCCCAGAACTGGCAAGAGTTTAGAGGTAGCAGGTAAGAGGGACAAGGGACTGAAAGCAGGATGATTAATGCAAAGTTCTGTGTGGAGCCATAAGATTCCTAAGACTCTCTGCTTGCAACTTGCTTATGCTCTCAAGGTAGGAGATTGGAGCAGCCTTTCTTGGAATAAGGGAATGGAAGTGTACTAACCAGAGAAAAGATCTGCAGACACTGATTCTCAGGGGTCATGTAACAACAAAAAAATGAGCTTATATTCAGCCATCCTCTCAACAAGCCTTATATCTACACACAAGAGCTCCCTCTCAGCATTTTACTACCTTACACTTAAATCTGAATAGATTGCTGAGAATCAGTAAATATTAAAAAGAGTCCAAAGCAAATAAATAATCAACTCAACAGAGTAGATGCATTGAGAAGAAACAAATTATGTATAAAACAGAAGAAAATCTTTTAAAAAACCATAATAAATGTCCTTGGAGAAATGAAATAATATTATCTCTATAATTCGGAGAATGTCAAATTAAAGATGTAATAGCTTGAAAAAACTAACCAAAGGACTGGAAAATGAAATTAAGGAACTATATCAGAAATCAGGGCCAAAAGACAGAGGTTGAAAATTGGAAAGGAAATTTCAAGAAAAAGATCATGTAAGTTTCCTGAGGATAGGAATATTGTCTATCTCATTTATCATGATAATCACAGCACTTAGATCAATATCTGGCACATAGTGGGTACCCAGTAAATATGTGTTGAATGGGTGAATGAATTGAGCCTTTTAGGGCATCCAACATCTAGCTAGGAGAAATTCTAGAAAGAGAGAATAGAGACAACAGGGTGGGGGAAATTATCAAAGAACAGAAATACCAAAAACACATTAAAAAGGTATTTCCCAGAGGTAGGGCTTAAGTTTCTCAACTGAAAGAGCCCACTAAGTGTCTCATATAATTAATGGAGGGGTGACAGGGAAGCTACTTAAAGCCACGTAATTGAGTGATTTCCAAACGCCAAGGGTGAAGTTTCTAGAGAGAAAAAAGCAGGTAATGTACAAAGGATTAGGAATTACAATGGTGCTGAACTTCTTAATAGCTAGAAAACAATGAAGAATGCCCTCATAATTTAGAAGGAAAAAGATGTTCAACCCAGAATAATTCAATAGACAGTCAAACTGTCAGTCAAGTATGAAGATTATAAATACATATTTGGAAATAAAGGGTCTCAAAACATGGACCTCAAAGTTACATTTTCCTTAGGAATCTACCATAGGGTATGCATCACCAAAACTAGGAACTTAACCTCAAAAGAGAAAGTGTGGGATTTGGGGAACAGATTGTCCAACACAGGAGAATGAGGTAAGGAAGTCCCAGGGTGAGGGATGTACAGCAGGCATTACAGCCTGGATTGAAGCAAGGGGAGAGAAACTGTAATAAAGACTTTTTCAATTATACACTGAAACTGGTAAATTTGTTGAATTGTTTGACTACATGTAACAAATAATCTTGAGACAAGCCATTTCATCATATGGGAAGAATTAACTAAAGGTGTTTGGAAAAACTAAACATATGAAAAACAAAGCAGTTATGTGCTGCAGGAAAACAGAAGATTGAACAAAAAAGGAAGCACTTCCATGGTATCATTATGGTCACAATAATGTGAACACTGATTATCAATTTAACCAAAAATCTTTATGATGTAATATATAAGTATATTAGGAGGTCATTGTATGTGAATATGTGTGTGGGGTGATGTAAGAGAGCTATATCCACATCTACTCTAAAAGTAAATTAATAGGACTCTAATTCCAAAAATGGTGGCATAAAGAGAATGGATAGTTCTACTCTGTATGAAACAAGTACTGAACTGTACAAATTCAGAAGAACAGCTACTAGAAAATAACCAAAATGAAGCAATGATTTGAGAGGTGTAGTTATCAAAAACTGCTACTGCCTTGGGTTAGAATGGCAAATTTGTGACCTTTTTTTGCTTGGGACCATTGACATACTTCACACGCCCCCCCAGACTTGGGCAGGAAAAAAACCCACAGCTTTATTACCTGTAGGGTAGGCAAAGGAGAAAGTAGAAATTTAAGAGGGATATTTTGGAAGCAAGAGGGCCGTGGAGGGGCTGAGCTGATAACTTCTTAACCCCGCTCTGGCTGATTGCAAAACTATACATGCATACAGTAGATGCCAGGGAGTCCAATAAGAATTGAAAGCTTGGGGAGACCAGAAAATTTGCTGTGCCTTTGATTGCATTCCTCAATTCACCCACAACTTGGGCAGCAGAAGATGGAAGCCTTAATGGCTTAAGGCATTTGAGCAGAACCTCGCCCCGAATCTGCAGACAACCAAACTGTGCAGAGATAGTGAATCCTCTCTAGGGAGTCAGGCTAAACAAAATAGAACTGAGCAGAGACATTAGTGACTACACACTGTGGGAAGACATATTTCCCAGTTTAAGTCCAAGCTTGGTAATTGACCTATAAACCAATTACCCTTAGAAGGACAAAGCAAGGGACTTCCCTGGTGGCCCAGTGGTTAAGAATCTGCCTGCCAGTGAAGGGGACACGGGTTCAGACACAGGTTCGAGCCCTAGTCCATGACGATCCCACATGCCACGGAGCACCTAAGCCCATGCACCGTAACTACTGAGCCTGCGCTCTAGAGCCCACGAGCCACAGCTACTGAGCCCGCATGTCACAGCTATTGAAGCCCACGCACCCTAGAGCCTGCGCTCTGCAACAAGAGAAGCCACTGCAATGAAAAGCCCGTGCGCCGCAATGAACAGTAGCCCCCACTTGACACAGCTAGAGAAAGCCCGTGCGCAGCAATGAAGACCTAACAGCCAAAAATAAATAAATAAAAATAAATTTAAAAAAAAAGGACAAAACAAAATCCAGAATTGGTACAATGTATCATACAATGTCCTACTTTCTTACAGAAATTATTAGCCATGCAGAGAAAGAGAAAGGAGTGACTCATACTCAAGGAAAAAGCACAACTCAATAAATAGGTGCTAAGTAAGCACAAATATTAAATTAGGAGACAAAGATGTTGAAGTAGCTAATTATAAATGGCAAAGAATTTAAAAAAGCAAAAAACCTCTTGAGTGAACTAATGGCAAATCTCAACAAATTGGAAACTTCAGAGAAAGAACCAGTTGGTAATTACAGAGCTGAGAAGTACAGTAAGGAAAGAAAAATTCACTAGAATATATCATCAGTTTTTTTGTTTTGTTTTGTTTTGTTTTTGCGGTATGCGGGCCTATCACTGTTGCGGCCTCTGCCGTTGCGGAGCACAGGCTCCAGACGCGCAGGCTCAGCGGCCATGGCTCACGGGCCCAGCCGCTCCGCGGCACGTGGGATCCTCCCGGACCGGGGCACGAACCCGTGTCCCCTGCATCGGCAGGCGGACTCTCAACCACTGCACTACCAGGGAAGCCCTAAAACCTCATATTTGAGGTGACAGAAGAAAAAAAAATGTTGAACTTGAAGATAGATGAATAGAAATTAACCAATCCAAAGAACAGAGGAAAAAAAATCTCAAAATGAAGAGAATGTCAGAGATTTGTGGAAAAATATTAACTGTTTCAATAAATGTGTAAGTGAAGCTTTAGAAGGTGAGGAGAAAAAGAAAGGGTCAGGGAAAAAATGTAGAAAAAAAAATGGCTGAAATCTTGTCAAATTTGGTGAAACATTTTAACTTTGGGGTCCAAGAACTGCAGTGAATCTCAAGTAGGATAAACACAAAGAGCATTTCACCCAGGCACGTTGTGGTCAAAATGATAAAAGCCAGAGGTAAAGAGAGAATCTTGAAAGTAGCAAGAGAAAACAAAGCATCACATATAGGGATTTCATTAAGCATTAAGGCCAACTTCTTATAGAAGTAATGCCAGCCAAAATACACTAAAATGAGATGTTCAGAATGCTGGGGGAGGGGCTTCCCTGGTAGCGCAGTGGTTAAGAATCTGCCTGCCAATGCAGGGAACACGAGTTCGAGCCCTGGTCCAGGAAGATCCCACATGCCGCGGAGCAACGAAGCCCATGTGCCACAACTACTGAGCTTGCGCTCTAGAGCCCGTGAGCCACAACTACTGAGCCTGCATGCCACAACTACTGAAGCCCGCCTGCCTGGAGACCGTGCTCCACAACAAAAGAAGCCACGACAATGAGATGCCCAACCACCGCAACAAAGAGAAGCCCCCGCTTGCTGCAACTAGAGAAAGCCCATGCGCAGCAACAAAGACCCCACACAGCCAAAAATAAATAAATAAAATAATTAACTTTATTTAAAAAAATGCTGGGGGGAAAAACAAACAAAAACACCTTTCATCTAATCTATATCCAGCAAAGCTCTGCTTCAAAAATGAAGGCAAAATAAAGACATTTTTCTATAAACAGATGGAAATTAATGCATTACTAGCAGACCATGCTAAGGAAAGTTCTTCAGGCTGACAATGCTAAGGAAAGATATGGTAATTGGAATCCATAGGAAGGAATGAAGAGCAAGATAAATGGAAAATATGTGGGTTAATTAGCACAAAAGCAAACTCAAAAGAGGTTAGCATAAAATTGAAAAACACATTTTCCCTGCCGTTTTCCAGTTCTTTAAAAGTAGAACTTTTGATTGCTTTGAGAAGTAAGAACAGAAGTCAAAGACTACACAAAGTAAGAACCTAGTAGGTGACTGTACAAAAATATGAGACCCTGAATGGCCGTAACATTCACCTTCACACAGTAAAAGTGAATCAGAAGTGAAACAAGCCTGTGGAATTACAGACAGGTATCAGTTCTTTGGGACATTAGGAATTTCAAATCTTTAACTTAGTCTGCATTGGACTAGACATAATGCCATGGGCCTGGGAAAATGAAATGCAAATCACCTCTGGAGGAAAATACTTTCATTATAAAACTCATATATTATTCCCACAAATAATTTGTCAAGTACAGTGTTTACCATACAACCAAACATAAATAAGCACACAAGTAAACAACATCCATCCACAAGAACGAACAAAAATAGCAAACAATAGAAACAGACTTATGTTATTGGAATTATCAGATGTAAACTGTAAAACAACCATGCCTACTATTTTTAACAATACAAAAGACAGGTTTGAAGATATCAAAAGGAAAAGGAAACTATAACACTAAGCATATTTGGAAAAGAATTTCTAAAAAATTCTAAAAATTTTCTGAAAAATATAATTGAAATTTAAAACTCAGTGGGTAGTTTAACAGCAGGTTAGGAACAACATGGAGAACGAGTTAATGAACAGCAGATAGATGAGAAGAAAAATCTGTAATCCAGCACAGAGACACAAGAAGGTAAAAATAGAAGAGAGGGTAAGAGACATAAAACACAGAGGAGATCTAATGTATGTTTAATCAGACTTCTAGAAGGAAAAGAGAAATAGAATAGAGCATAGGCAATATTTGAAGAGATAATTGCTGAGGATTTTGCAAAAATGATGAAGAGCAACAGTTTGTAGTTTGAAGTCCAATGAATTCTACTTAGATGAGGCCCAAGTAAGAAAAATAAAAAGAAGTCTATAGCTAGACAAATCAGTGATATGGCAGAAAAATTTTAAAAGGAAAAGAAAATCTTAAATGTAACCAAGGAAAAATGACATCACCTTCAAAGGAATAGCAGAAATGGAGGTTTGAAGACAGTAGAATGATAGTGTGCACAAAGGTTAAAGACTGCTAACCTAGGATTTTATATCAGGAGAAAATGTCCTGATACGAAAGAATCAAGACAAAGATAAATATATTCTCTGGCAAACAAAAGCTAGGGTAATTCAATTCTAATGGTTTGGTTTCTTATGAAAAGAAATTTTACCTGTATATTAAGTAAAAGAAAACGATCCCGGATAGAAAGTCTAAGTTCAAGAAGGATTGGTAAAGAAAGTGGTAAATATGTGGGTGACACTAAATGAATGTTAACTGTGTAAATCAATAATACCTTGTGGGATTAAAATTGTGGAATTAAATTATAGTTTAACAACAGCTGGGACAAAAGGAATCACTTTATAATGTTAAAAGGTTCAATTCTGCATCTAATAACATGACTTCAAAATAGTAAAGTGAAAAATTGGACTTCAAGGGGAAATGTATAAATTCATCATCATGACTCGAGATATATAATAATCTGTTAAACTTTTAAATTTGTTTTTTTGCCTTTTTCTGTGTGTTATACTGAGCAGTTGTAAACATTTATAGAAAATCTACAAGAAACAACTTGCCATCTTATTAAAAAACTGTTAGCACACCATTTTTAATGACTGTATATAATTCTCTTGCCTAAATATATAGTTGTTTATTTAATCCAACCATCCTCAATTTTTAGAAATTTCAGTATTTTTCTACTAATATTATAAGCCCCTTAATAGATAAATGTTACAGCTATCTGTGAGTATTTCTTTAAGATAAATTTTTAGGCATTTAATTATGGTGTCAAAATATATAAACATTTTTAAGGCCTTCACCAAATGGCTTTCCAGAAATTTATTATTTGCACTCCTGACAGCAGAATGTAAGTGTATCCAATTCTCCATATCTTCATTGCTGCTGCACTTTATCATTCAGAAATATTTTATTTATTTGATGCTGAAAAATATTTTAATTTCCATTTCATTACTAGTGAGTGAACGTTTTTCATGGATTTTTTTAAAAATCCAAAATGGTCATGTTTATATTCAGTTCTATTAAATATTTAGTTTACTGTTTAAATTTTTCTGTAAATGAAGGGCTCAGATAACCAGATTTGGTAACAACTGTACATTAATCGACTCAGTGAGATTCTGGGTAAATTATCAACGTGAGGTTCACAGCTTCTGTTCATGGGCTTTAGAATACTGTGATTAAAAAGCCTTTCTCAGTGACTCCTAGTTTTGTGGCTACTCTGTAGAAATGAGGAAGCCAAATGACCAATTTTTAGGTGAGTGGGCTTTGGCTGTGATGTGACTAGTTATTATGACCTTGCATACGTGTGAGCAGTCTTGCTGCATCAGGCTCACCTGGCCACGTGCTCTTCTAAAACAACACCGAGTTATCTGAAGTCTCAGACTGTCTCCTTGTAGCCATCATTGCTTTGTCTTCTGTCACTAAGTGATTTTTGGAAAAGTTTTACTAAATAGTAATTGCACCAGTATAACGAATATTCGGTTTGGAATGTCTTAATTTGAAACCAGCATGTCCACAGTAGAAATATTAATGTATTGGGGAGATCTTTTAATATTCTTATTTTTTGTTTCTAGAAACCACTAAGTTTTATATGACAGAGATAATTATTCAGCCATCTGAAAGAAATTTTCCCATCATACCAAGGTACAAATAGCTAATTAAGTGTGTTCTGTAATTTCACATGTAATGAAAGATAGGTATTTGGGAATTATTAATTATAATTATTTATTATAATTATTTATTGTAAGTGATTATTTGGGAATTCATTTTTATTTATACCCCTCTTTGTTTGGAAAGGAAAAATAAGTCTTTGGAAAGGTTTTTAGGTAGTGGAACCAAACCACAGATATGAAAGATTTGAGGATTTATTTATGGTTTGCTTGCATAATGGCATAGACAAATGTGCTCTTACAAATCTTCTAGTTCTGAAAGTTTTTTGTGTTTCTTTTTTTTTTTTTTTTTTTTCTCTGCGGTACTCAGACCTCTCACTGTTGTGGCCTCTCCCGTTGCGGAGCACAGGCTCCGGACGCGCAGGCTCAGTGGCCATGGCTCACGGGCCTAGCCGCTCCGCGGCATGTGGGATCTTCCCGGACCGGGGCACGAACCCATGTCCCCTGCATCAGCAGGCGGACTGTCAACCACTGTGCCACCAGGGAAGCCCTGTGTTTCTTTTTATGTGCTAGATACCCAAGGTTTTATGATATAATCAATAGGTTTTTGAGTAATTATTTCTGGTTTTAATTTAACTTACTTGAAACATGGGTTAGTTTTCAAATGACTTGTGTGTTTTGAAAAAGGATGTTACTTAGCCACTCAGTCCATTAGTGTTTCTTTTCTTAGAATCTTTTTAGTCTTGCAAATGAAAGTTAACTGTAGTATGTCTTTATTTCAGCTAATTTATTGATGTCTAAAAATTATGGCTCTCTGAATATAACCTTGAACTTTATCCTCCTATAAATACTTTGATTCTGTACCTCAGATCTGACACTCTGAGGGAATACAAATGGAAAACATTGGAGATAATACATGTTACTTAGCCACTCAGTCCATTAGTGTTTCTTTTCTTAGAATCTTTTTAGTCTTGCAAATGAAAGTTAACTGTAGTATGTCTTTATTTCAGCTAATTTATTGATGTCTAAAAATTATGGCTCTCTGAATATAACCTTGAACTTTATCCTCCTATAAATACTTTGATTCTGTACCTCAGATCTGACACTCTGAGGGAATACAAATGGAAAACATTGGAGATGTCTAATGTTTGGGAGGAAATTTCTTACCTTCTTTTTTAACTTAGTTATTCACTGTTGAATGTGCCGCCGCACAAATGGATTATTGACTTGTCAAACAGTATTTTTTTATTCAGTGGGGGGAATAGTTAGGTTTGGGGTGGAAAATGTATTAAGGATCAAAGAATGGGTTATAGAAAGACTGGTGCAAGCACAAATACATTACAGTAGATTAAAATTAGCACAGGTTGTGAGGGGATGGGCAGCATATAGAAAAGTCCAGCATGCACCCACCTCTGCCTTATAGGTGCCCTGTGGGTATTTAGACTTATTACGAGAGGCACATTGTGAAAACTGGTTTGTGTTCAAACAGGTCTCAGTTTGTACAGAGCGTTTTTGCCCAGTGCCTGGTGGAACTCTCCTCTGCTAGAAGCACTTTTAGATTCACTCTTCAAGGACACGACGGCAAAGCATACATCTTGGTAAGAAATGATTTCATCCAGCTTTTTGTAGCCTAGTAATCCAGGGTCTCAGAAATTCTTTGGTTTTTGTCATTCTTTTTTCTTAAATCTCGGGTCTGGAAAATAAATGATGAAAAATTGAGTTTTTAATCTCAGTTTAATTCACAGATCAAATCCCCTTAATTGAACAAGTGATTTAAGTGCCTCTGCGTGCTAGGTACTAGGGATTTAGAGAGAACCACAACCTGATTCCTCAGTAGGAGCTCATGCCACAAGGTGAAGTTTTTCTACTCTTAGTTTTTAATGGCTTTCTTGGTCAGTGTAACACGGTTCTGTCTTTCTCACTTTTTTCCCCATTTGATACTCTTATGGTTAAAATACGTTCTGTTGCTCCTGTTTTTGTTTTTAGTGTTTTGTGTGTGTGTGGTAAGAACACCTAACGTGATCTACCCTCTTTACAGATTTTTCAGTGCACAATACAGCATTGTTAGTTATAGGCGCAGTGTTGTAGAACCGGTCTCTAGAACTTACTCACCTTGCCCAACTAAAACTATACCCTTTGATTAACAACTCCCCATTCTTCCCTCCCTCCAGCGCCTGGCAACCAGCATTCTACTTTGTGCTTCTATGAGTTAGACTATTTTAGATTCCTCGTGTAAGTGGAATCATGTATTATTATCCTGCTGTGTCTGACTTGTCTTATGTATCATAATGTCCTTGAGGTTGACCTATACTGTTGCATATTACAAGATTTCTTTCTTTTTAGAGGCTAAATAATATTCCATAGGGTGTATGTACCGCATTTTCTTCATCCATTCATCACTGTGGACAGTTAGATTGTTTCTGCATCTTGGCTATTGTAAACAGTGCTGCAGCGAACATGGGAGTGCAGACAACTCTTTGAGATCCTGATTTCAGCACTTGGGTGTTTGAAAAGTAGTAGCAAGTTTTGGAGAAAAGGCTCCGCAGTTAGCAGAATCATCCCCTACACGTAGCACAAGCATTTAATATTAAACTGCTCTTGTCAAAAATAACGTTCTGCAGAAAACAGGTGGGGACATAATGTGAAAACCCAACATCGAGGGCCCCCGTCTCTTCTCTGCCTCCACGCCTGCTTTATTCAACGAGTAAACATATGTTGAATACTTCTTATTTGAAAGACACTGTCCTGGGTGCTCAAGATACAACCAAAAATGCCTTTGAGGACCTCGCCAGCTAATAAGGGAGCATGGTAGCTAAAAGGAGAGAGGGATTGAGGTGATTATCAGGTGTTGCTTTGTGGCTGTCCATCCATCACAGGGACCCCGTGCTTCTCTAATTCCAGATAATTTCTATTCAAAGCTAAAATATTTTCTAACTCAGGTTGATACTAAGTATACCTCATAGTCCTAGTCTGAAATCAGTCTTTTTTTTTTTTTTCACCTTTTTTTCGGCCATACCACGCACCTTGCGGGGTCTTTGTTCCCTGACCAGGGATCAAACCCGTGCCCTCTGCACGTGGAAGTGCGGAGTCCTAGCCACTGGGCCACCAGGGAATTCCCTTAATTTCCTTTTATTGCAAAGTTTTCACGTTGAAAATCAGGAGTAGGAACTTTTGAAACTTACTACTAATGTATATTTAAATTAAAAAAAAATTTTTTTTTTTATAAAAGTAATACAGTCTCGAAACACATTCTGACAACGTGAAGAACACAAAAGAAGTGGTGGTTCCCCTGTCCCGTCCCCTCTTCCGCCCCGCTGTGTCATACCATCCGGAGGTAATCATTAACAGTCTGACATGCCTACTTCATCATTCTTTTTCCCTGTTTACTGTTTTATGTACATACGCCCACAGGTATTTTTAAAAATAACATAATGATGTGATTAGCATTGTTCTTCAACATGCATTCTTCACACAACCAGGTATCATGAGGCTTGTTTCTTGTTAGTATAAATATGGATTGGACTCTTGCTAATGAGTAGAATTCCACTGTATGGCCAGTAAAGACAGTGCTGCAGGGAAAGTCCTCTTTGCACATGTATTTTAGTACTTCAGAAACAGATCTCTCTCATCTTATGCAGTATTGGAATTTGTGTATTTTGAACTCTGATAATTATCACCTCTAAAAAGTTGGACTAATTTATCCCTTGTGAACATCACTTTATCCCTTATAGACATTCTTTTTATTTTTTGCGGTACGTGGGCCTCTCAATGTCGTGGCCTCTCCCGTTGCGGAGCACAGGCTCTGGACGCACAGGCTCAGCGGCTGTGGCTCACGGGCCCAGCCGCTCGCGGCACGTGGGATCCTCCCGGGCCGGGGCACAAACCCGCGCCCCCTGAATCGGCAGGCAGACTCTCAACCACTGCGCCACCAAGGAAGCCCCCTTATAGACATTCTTGGTGCCCCTGCCACAGGTCCCCTCTCCTCGGCTGGTCCCCCCTTTTCCCATTGCTGAGAATGTTGCCTGCTCACGGCTCACGGTCGCCCTCTTTTCCAGAGACTTGTCCCGTCCTGACAGATGCTGCCTGGCCAGGGAGTTTCCTGTCCTCCGCCGTCCCCCACCCCTGCCCTACTCAGCCCACTGCCGATGACCCGACCCTGGGCTACAAAACCTGCCATCTCCTGTCTCAAGATGGGACAGACTCTGTAGGTGGAATTCAGGCTTCAGAGCTCCCTGTGAGATCCGGCTGAGTCCACATTGTTGGCTACCCTGCCTTATCTTCTTGCCCTCTCTCCCTTTCTCCGATGAGAGTATTTCCTCAGTGAACCACCTGTGTCCAAATCCCAAAACAGTCTTCCATGAGCAACGTGTGGGCATACCTGCTCCAAACCCCTCTTCTGAGCTGACTGTTATCAATCTTTTTGTATTTGCCAATCTGATAAGTGAAAAGTGGTGGCACAGAATTTTGCATTTCCTTATTATTAGTTATGTTAACATTTTTATGTATTTATCACTTTTTTTTTCTGTTTATATTCTGTTCAATTCTGTTCATATTCTTCGCCTGTATTTCTCTTGGTCTGTTTTTTTTTCCCCCTTATTGATTGCTAGGAGCTCTATATATTATGGATCATAACTTTGTATGTATTAAATATTTTCTCCTAATCAGTTGTCTTTTCTTTAAAAACTTTATGTTGTCAGTGGCTCTACCAAAGGTTATACTTTGAAAGTCTTACCCTACTTAAAAGTTATATATGTGATATTTTTTCTGGTGTTTTATAGTTTTGTCTTTTTTTTATGGTTTTTTGTTTTTTTGAGTGGTGGTATGAGGTATGAATAGGGTTGTGATATTCTTGTACTTGGACTTTTCTCTCCGTGTCTTTAGCTATGGCTTTTAAACTCAGACACTTTGGTGATTGAAGCTTTGGAAAGTTCCACAAGTACCAAAAAATTCCCTCTGTTGGAAGACTTATTGAAGGCCGATTCCAGTTCTGCCTGGAATGCTGTCAAGGTCCTCTACCAGCCATGCATCAAAAGCAGGAGACTTATTGAAGGCCGATTCCAGTTCTGCCTGGAATGCTGTCAAGGTCCTCTACTAGCCATGCATCAAAATCAGGAATGCAGAGTAAGTCATCCTTTTGTTTTCTCCCTCCACATTTGTTTTCATTTCTGTTGCCACATTGGTGTTAAGAAATTAAGAATTAAATGGGACTGTACCACTTCCCTACTTGATGCTCTGGCAATCATACTGCTACCCATTGTGCTTTAAAAATGGGTTGAATCATTGCATGTTGTTCATGCTAATGTGCAGAAAGCTTGCTTTTACTGAAAATAATTGGTCTTTTTTTTTTTTTTCGTAATCTCAGCTGTCTGTACATATGGCTACAGGACTAAATCAGGCTTCAACAGCTATGACTATTTACTGATAAACACTTTCCAGGCATTGGGATACAGTTGTGAACAAAACGTAGCCCCTGCCTCTTGGGGATGTCATCCTCAGAGGGAGAAAGAAGGCAGGCCATAAACAAAACAGACAAAACATCAAAAACTGATATGGCTCTTCCTGTAAGTCAGGTGCTCATCTGAGGGCTTCTCGCTCCTTTCAGCCCAACAACAACCCTGTGGGGTAGGTACACTTATCACCCCATTTTAAAGACAAGGACACTGAGACACAGGTGTGAAATGTAAAGCAAGTTAGTAGGGTGTAGGAGGTTGGCGTTTTGTACTGAAAAGTCAAAGAAGGTTCCTCAGATAAAATGATATTTAAGTGGAAAACTTGAAGGCAGTGAGGGAGTGAGCCATATCTGAGGAAGAGCATTCTTGGCAGAGGGAACAGAAAATGTTCTTATTTAAACAGATTGGAAGTTTATACTTGTCCTGTACTCTCTGATGGGTTTGATCAAATTTGTACTAAGAACAGAAAGATCCCAGTCTTCTTCTGGGAAGTAAATAAGAAATTTTAAAAAATTATTGCTTGTCTTTTCTTTTCTTTGAATTATGCAAGCAGTTCAAGTTATAAAATATTCAAACAGTAGAGACTTACATAAAGTAAACTGTGAAAGTTCTCCATCATGTCTCTCTCTAGAAGAAAAAAGTATGTTGTGAATTTTTCCACTTTTTTTCTATTTTGCATCTTAACATAATTTGCAGGATGCATGTGTATTTTTTTACACTTAAAAAAACAAAAAACAAAACAACAACACACTGTGTCTTGGAGATTCTTTCCATGTCAGTGCTTGACATTTTATGAAATGGATTAATTTAACCATTTTTCTGTTGATGGATATTTGGGTTATTACTTTTTTGCTGCTATAATTAGTATTCCACTGTATGTTGTATATTTGTTTTGCAATTATGTGTACTTTTTAATGAGGTATTTCTAAAAGTAGAATTACTAAGTCAAAGGGTGTAACATTTAAAATTTAATAGGTAATATCAAATTATTTTGCAAAAAGGCATTGCAAATTTATACTCCCACATAAAGTTTCTATAAATGCCCATTTCCCT